TGGAGGAATCTGAAGGTGGTGAGTCATTCTGGCAGATTGTAATTAACACCCTGTCTCATGCGGTTGTTCTGACATTGTAAACCTCACACACAGAACATTGTGGATGTAACTAAATAAATCAAGAAATGATTCCCATCTGAGCATTTTAGCATTATTATATTATTATATTAGCACCAGGCGCATTGCAAGCTTTTCAAAAGTGTGGGGGATGTTGTCTGTGCCTAAAATAATTTGATGTTATTCATCTTGTTAGTTTAATTTCCATAATAGCTGAGCAGGTGAGAATTTTAGACGCGTCACGCATGTCTCCGTTTTAAGCATGTTTAAACTGTTCAGAATACAAATCCAGGCTCTGTCTCGTTAGATTGGTGTAACTAAAGTTTGTACTGAATGAAACTTTACATTAAACCATGTTGAAAAGAAAAGGATCCGATTAAATCATTTCCCCCTCATTTACAGTCAGGAGTACAGCGCAGTGCGCGTGGCTCTGGGGTTAATCAGGTTTAGTTGTTTCTCTTTGCAACAATCTTCACAAGAAGGCAAAACAGTTAAATGGCAGGTTACAGATATTTCCATTTGACTGTTTATTTTTACGGATAAACTCAAGGATGTTGGTTGTTTTGAAAGAATTACCCCGACGCACACTGATGCGCACACAGATGAGCTGACATTTTAATCGTTACGCACATCGCGGAGGTAACTAAATCAATCAAGAAATTATTCCCATCAGAACATCAGAGCTTTATACTGGACACTGTGTTCAGCGCGGATCAGAGCGTCCACGACGGACAGTGGGCTGAAGATCTGTAGAGGGGTTCGCAGCGCAGTGCAGAACCACGGCGATGTAGTAAGATTTCCTCCCACTGAAGCGGTCTGGAAACCCGGTCTCTCTGAGGGACGTGTCACTTGGAAAAATGTTCTCTGACTATGAAACTTTGGCTGAAAAGCACTTGTTCCCATCTCTAATATGGAGACGCATGACGCATCCAGTCTGAGGCAGAATCGCCTCTTCAGCTCAGCAATCACCTGTAGAGACATTTGATCACGCACAAAGTTTATGTGGAGCAGAAGCGGTCGGGCCACGGCAGGTGAAATGTTCCTAGCCTACATAAAGTGAAACTGTTTAATTGTAACATTAATGTTACTGGACACGCTGGTCTGGTTGGTTAGACCAGTGTTTGATGTGGAAAACATACACACACACAGATTCAATAAGCGCACGCTGCGCAAACTCCGGCGCGCCGTCAGACTGAAGGCAGAAATGAGCTCTGCCTCCTCCGTGATAAAAACTTTTAAGAGGTTTTATAACAACATTTTTCATTCCAGATCAAATTAAGATATTAGCTTCTATTTTGGGATGACGTATTAAAGTCGGTCCGCTCCAGCCAGTGACTCCGAACCTGACAACTCATGTTACTGCAGCATTTCTTATTCCTGTCCGCGTGGCAGCGGATCGCAGATTCAGCCACACCATAAAACAGCAATAAGTCGGTCTGAGGCAAAAGTGAACCTCATAGCTTTTCCATCTTTTCCCCTATAGACATTTGATTACGCACAAGTAGGTGACCAGTTCAGGTTTACGCAGAGCAGGAGGAAGGAGAAACGTTCCTATTAAAAAAAAAAAAAAGAAGTTAAATTGCATTGTTGCTGTGCTACCTGGGCACTCTAAATATTTATTTAAAATTAAATCAAAGGAAATTGTAATGGTATCGAACGTTTATTAATTACTATTTAAAAAATGAAAGTGATGGGGAAAAAGGTTGATCATATTTTTTTAAATATGATCATATTTTTTTAACCCTGTCTGTCGAGTGACTGTTTAGCTTGACATCTGATATATATATATATATATATATATATATATATATACATATATATATACATATACATATATATATATATATATATATATATATATATATATATATATATATATATATATAATTTTGTTAAAGTATTTAGTGGTGTAATTTAGTAAAAGTAATAAAATAAGAATAGGAAAGTCTGGGGTGCAATACCGGGGTTCTCCACAAGGTTGTCCGCTGGGGGTATTTTTCAGGATTTCATTCCCCGGTTTGGGTACCCACAGAAAGTACATCACGACCAGGGGCGGGAGTTCGAGAATGAACTGTTTAAGACACTTCAAAATCTGTCTGGGGTGGGTCATTCCCGCACGTCGCCTTATCACCCGCAAGGTAACCCCGCCGAGAGGTTCAACAGAACCATTTTACAAATGTTAAGAACTCTACCCGATGAAGGAAAGCGGTGGTGGAAGGATCATCTGGCTCATGTAGTGCATGCATATAATTGTACACGCCATGAAGCCACTGGATACTCGCCTTTTTTTTTATGTATGGACAAAATCCCCGCTTGCCGTTGGATTTGTTATTCGGACTACCAGAAGACAGAGAAACATATTCACCTAAGGGTTTTGCCGAGAAATGGGAAAAACATATGGCGGAAGCTTACCATATCGCCGGTGAACACAGTAAGAAGTCCAGCGCAAGGGGGAAAATAGAGTATGACAGGAAAGTGAAGGGAGTCGTGTTGCAAACAGGTGATCGGGTCCTAGTGAGAAACCTCAGTGAACGTGGAGGGCCTGGCAAGTTGAGATCCTATTGGGAAAAGACTTTACATCGTGACAGGACAAATAGGCCAAAACCCAGTGTACACTGTCCAGCCTGAGAGCGGAGACAACAAGAGGACGCGTACTCTGCATCGTAATCTCCTGTTGTTAGTAAATGACCTACCGGTTGAGAGGTGTGACTCCATGGAAAAATCTAAGAGGAGTACAAACCCGCGAGCAAGGAGAGTACTCAGGAAGGGAGCTGTCCACACAAATGAACAAATGAGGGACAGTCAGGATGCAGAGAGTGACTCTGAGGAAGAACACTGTTCAGGGTACTGGTTGAGAATACCAAGGGGTGACCAACCACTGACACATCAGACAGGAGCAGGACAGGAGGACACACAGAGGTTGACGGATGAAACAGAAGTGCATTTAAAAGAGGAGGTGTCATTTGGAACCCGCTGCTCATTAGGAAAAGCAGGGGAGGATCTCACATTACCTCATGTACAGGAGGAGGAGTCACTTGTAGCCGGGAAAGATGGACTTACTATTGACCACGCAAAGGAGGAACTGGGAGACAATCTCATGTCTGACCAGGACCAACAGGTGAGACCCACAGAGGTCAGAAGGTCGACGCGAGATCGAAGACCACGTCAGGTGTTCACTTATGATTTCCTGGGTCAGCCATCACTGTACACAAAGGCAACCGTTAGTGTGACTGACAACAAGCCCCATCACTCACCTGTCATTACAAATACGTACCCAACTGTGACTTACCTTCCAGCCATGGGCATACCATACTTACCTAGTACTACTTACTTATCACCGATTATGGGTCCGAAAAACCCTTACCAAACTCAGGTATGTACGCAGCCTTGGTTATTCGTTCAATAAAGGGTGACTGTGTTAAGGACCGCTAAAATCTGTAAATATGTGAGAAAGAACTGCAATTTTTAGTTATGGGAAGATTTCTTTTGTTTGCCGGAGAGAGTGTGACGCCCACAAAGTGTGGTCACATAATTTTGTTAAAGTATTTAGTGGTGTAATTTAGTGAAAGTAATAAAATAAGAATAGGAAAGTGTGGGGTGCAATACCGGGGTTCTCCACAGGGTGGCGGGGGGGATGCGAGACGGCTAGTGGAGCTCTGTGTCCCATCTACCGTTATTCGGGAGCAGCAGTTCACAGAAACCACTCCATTCTGATGTCTCTGTCTCTTTTTTTCATTTCAGGTTAGTAAAGTGCACCCAAGCATACAAATCCACCTATATGAGGTGCGCCATGAGTTTATAAATGTAGTGACGGTTGATAGCTTACGCTAAAGGTTCAGTTATAGAGTTAACTAGACGTACATAGCTGTTAACGTTTTGTGCCCATAGTCTAGCCTCACAGGCAAATAGCTCAACTGGTAAGGTTGTGAGCTATCCTAGCTTTAATGGGTTTAATAGAAATTTATATGTTCAACAAATGCTTAATCGATAGAAGGATGCTGAAGTAGGTTTAGTTATAATAATAGAAAAAGTGAAGTTTAATGTTGTTTCGGGTCAAAAGAGTGCTTCTTGTAGCAACGGCTAGGTCACACTGGTGAATATATATGAATGTTTGATTGTGCATTGTCTTGTAGCCAAGCCTAAATGTTTATGAGGTTGTGGAAACTGTAAGGGAAAATTATTGAATACTGGTTTAGTGGAAATGAAGGGAAAGTCAATACATACACATGTAATGTAAAAGGGATTATATTATCCTGAGAAAAGATAATTAAAGATTCGGGAGCAGCAGTTCACAGAAACCACTCCATTCTGATGTCTCTGTCTCTCTTTTTCTTTTCTTTTTTTTTTTTTGCATTTCAGGCACCCGGACGTTCCCTCAATAATTTATATTTAAGCTGTAAGTGGGGATTGTGCCGGCCCGATACCTGCAACACGTGCAGCTGTGTGTACTCCATGTTTGATAGATCACAAACCTGCTTGGCGTAAGTACTTTTTTTTTTTTGCTGAGCTTAAGTACGGTTTTAGTAAGGATTCTACGCAATGTTTGATAAATGAGACCCCTGCTGTATGCAGATTTTAGTGGTTCTAAGTACGAGCACCACTGGTCTACAGCAGCTACTAGATATCTGCTCTGACTATGAAGTAGAACACAACATTGTGTAATGCAGCTAAAAGTGTGGTTATGATTCGCCGGGCCGAGGAGGACGAGCAAATGAAGTTTCCAGAGTTTTCTCTGCCAGACTCTGTGATTAGTGTCACCAAGAATGTTAAACATCTTGGTCATATCATCACTGAGGACATGAGAGATGATGTCATGTACAGGCAGTGCTGTATGTTATACGCTCAGAGAAATACACTCGCTCCTAAGTTTGGGTCTTGTTCTGATAAAGTAAAGATAACCTTGTTTAAGGCTTATTTACATATCTGAAAGGTGGCAGCCCTACCTGTGTCCATGCTGTCCAGGTCCAGGTGGTGAAGAACACACGATGAATCAGTCCCAGCTGATGGATGATCCTGAAGTGGTAGCAGGTTTTCTTTAGCCGTGTTTAGCTAACAGCTGCAGTAGAAACAATTAGGAGAGCTGATTAAGATGCTGCTTCAGAACAACGCAGGAGATTAAAGATCCAACGCTTGGGTTCTGATCAGCTGAGGACAGATCCAGTCTGGAAAAGAGGACCTTTGGTCACCAGAGTTCACGGAGTAGAGCTAACCGCTTTTTCCTCCAGAGTCACACTCAGACTCGGGGCTTTTCCGTCGGAGAGTGTGAGCAGGATGGATCAGAGAGCGAGCAGCGATCCTGCATCATGACCAACTCAGATGAGCGAGTCTGATAGAGGGAACCTCTTCAATCTGATGAAAGCAGTAAAACGAGCGCGTTTCTCAGAGAGGCCAAAGGAACAGCAGCAGATCCAGAGGGCAGGAAGTCTAGAGAAAAGCTTTTTTGACCCACAACCTGATTCTGGAGCTCCGATTGTCACGAAGACCGCAGAATATCTTCTCTGGTTCTGGAAAGAACTCCACCAAGTTGTTGAGGAGGAGAAGAAAGTTCCACAGCCTGGTGAGAAGCTTTCTGCAGCAGCAGTTAGTCGCTTTAGCTGATCAACTCTCCCAGAGACTGAAGTGAAGACATTTTTACTGCAGAGCCTCAAATGTTCTCCTCACACACCAGAACAACAACAAGCTAGCTCAGCAAGCAGCTTCCGGTTTCTGCTTTTTCCGGTGGTCGGTGACCAGCGTAAAGGTGCACTACCGCCACCTGCTGGAGCAGAATAAAACACACCTGTGTGTTCAGAATGGGACTAATAAAACACACGTGTGTTATATTTTTATTATTTTAGGTGGTCTCTTCAAAAGCCGCGAAAAACAAGTAAAATACCTTTTTCTTTATGATGTTTTTTAATCTAAATCTGACCAGTTTTATTCTTTATGAACTTCAAACAAACTAAAAAAAATCTTATTTATAGCTCAACAGGCACATGGAGGCGCGTCTTGTCGGGGGGGGGCGTGTTTGGACGGGGCTGCGTCTGCTGCCAGGTATTATTGGAATTCGCGCCCGAACACCGGAAGTAAACAACAAGTTGGGAGCAACATGGCGAGTCGCGGCACAGCATCACATTTTTGGAGTGACGAGGAAACCTCTGTTTTCATCGGTCTGGTGAAAAGTATGAACATTATGTCTTTGTTTGACGACCGAAAGTGCAGAGACAGCGAAATATACAAGAAGATAACCGAAAAGTTACGCGAAGCAGGGTTTGTAAGGACACCAGACCAAGTCAAGTACCGCTGGAAGATGCTGAAAAAGGCCTACTACAAGGCGAAGAAACAAAACAATACCAGCGGGTCCAACCCATTTTCTTTTCCTCAGTTTGATTTAATGGACGAGATTTTGGGCAATAGACCCATCAGTACAGCTGAGAAAAGTGGGGTAGATATCGGATTTGAGGACGTACAGGAGCAGTTATCCGACCAGCAAGGTAGGTTTGCTAGCCTTCTCCAAGCACAATAGTTACGTAACTTAGTCCAATTGTTATTATAAATAGGAATGTAACTAATTTGTACCACAAATGCTGCCTTAACATGCACTGTCCCAGATTAATAAGTATAGTAAACGTCACATAAATGTAAAGTCTGTCTGTTGCTGTTTTGCGGTTTCACGATGTGTAAAAAGATTTTATTATTATTTCATACGAATTGTATTTATGCTATTTTACAGACAGTGGTGGAACGCTTGACCTGACAGACGCAGCCACACCTACAGCAAGCGATGTAACAAGTGGAAGTGGCTCACATCTTGAAGGAGAGGATGTTATGGATGAAAACACAGGTAAGTCACATGACTCTTTCTCAATCCAATACGTACATTCTGACACATGTCAGCTAAAGGTAAACAAACAACTTCTAGAATCCACAAGTTTATTAAGAATGCAATAAGTGATAATAGTCTAACACTAGCTTACCAAATACTTTCTAAGGCCTGTCATGTCTGCTCTAGGTGGGTCAAGTCGCAGGTCCAGGCACCGTGCTTCACTAACTCAACATCAACAGTTCTTGGAGAGAATGCAGCACAGGCAGAACCAATGGTTTGAGCAGCAAATGCAGTTGAGCTATGCAAGTGATCAAGCACTCATGTCTCAAATGATTGCTGAATCAACCCGTTCTATGGGTACTGTTGTTACCCAACTCCTCACAGGGTTAAGTGTATTATTCCAGCGGCCAATTCCTCAACCCATATTTAATAATTCTCAGTCCCAGCCAATTTTTCAGCCATACAACAACCATTTTGATTACAGGCAACCACCTGCTCCTCCACATCGAGTTCCCTATTCACATAACAATCAAACTGAACATGATCACAGCGATGACCAAGATCCTACACCATTCTTCCAACCGTAGTGTCCCACCTTATAATCCATTCATCTATTTGACAGACAGTTGTTTTTGTGCAGTTCGTAGGAAGTATGTTCTTGAAAAGTATTTTTGTAAAAAGTTTACACTTTGCACCTTTTTTACACCTTTTTTTTAATTATGTAAAAAACTAAAACATTTTCAGAAAGACTTTGTTCCACATATGTTCCACATGTTTACACCTCGAGCCTTGTCCTGCTATATTAGACAATAAATACATAAATGTGACAAGCAATGAAAGTGGTAATAAATAAAACAACGTTTCCATATTTTAGATGTATCTCCACATTTAAGGCATAGCTTCATGTATTTGTTGCTACATTTGCGTATCTCCACATGCATTTATTTATTACTACATTATTTACAGCTACATTTGGTCAAAATTGAGTTCCTATGTAGGTGTTTTGATGGCCTTGTGTTTAAAACACCCCTATTTATTTAGTGCCAATGTCACTGTAAATGCAGAAATGTAGCTGAAATAAGTGTAGGGATAAATAAGTAAATGTGGAGATAAATGTATAAATGTAGCAATAAATAAATGTAGCAATTTGTAAGTGTGGAGATCAATTTGGAAATTCATATTCTTTATTTCAACTTTTATTAATTTAGATTTTTATGTATTTATTCTCCATTATGGCAGGATAGGTGCTCCACAGAGCATTACTTGAACCTCAGTTTTACCTCAGATGTAAAAAGCAAAACCACAATGTTATTTTTTATGTGCTTTATTGAATAACAAATGTTCTATTAAAGTTACTAGAAAACTTATATGTGCTGAAATTTTATTTGAAAATTGCATATACCTTTTCTCTTTCAGAGGTGCAGAGCAACAAAGGAGAAGGCAGATAAACATTTTTTAAAACTTAGAAAATAATGAGTTTTGAGAAGTATCGAGTTTAGAGTTTAAAGTTGTTTGTTTCCTATCAGACCCGTTCATCCTGCACACTCACGCTCTTACTAAGCGCTTACGGGGTGGGACACGTGCAGCAAGGTAATCAGGCCCGTATCTCAGGCTGCACTGTTATCAGCCCTGTTGACCTGTGACACAGGCTGTGGAAACAGCCTTTCTGCTGTTGTGGCCTCCTCTGCCCATCTGGGATTAACATGCTCCTTCTCCATCTCACAAAAGTTGTGTAGAGCACAACAGGTTGCTACCACGTATGGTGTAAAAGTGAAATGGAAGTCGCTGCGCTTCAACAGAACGCGGAAACGAGATTTCAGTCGACCAAATGCTATCTCTATACTTGTTCTAGCAGAACTCAAATAGACGTTGAAGCTTTCCTCTTGTGTCAGTCTTGGGGACTGCAGATAGCCCTAAATTAGCCAGGGCATCAGTGGGTAAGCAGGGTCTCCCAGCAGGAAGAAATCCACATCCTGCCCCTCGATCTGTACTGCTCTCTAAAGTGGGACAGATAGAAATATTCTTCCTAAATTATGTCATAATACATCTTAGATATGTGGCAGGCATAAAACTTGCATTTAAATACCAAAAGTTTTAATGCCTTACCCACCTTTGGGAAAGATTGTGCGTTGTTGAACAGACTGGACTGGCGGAGTGCATTGGTGTCATGTGCTGAACCAGGCATTTTGCAGCTCACACTCCAAAAACTATGGAAAATGTATCACAGTGAATCGAGATGTAGTGGCAGCGGCGTGATTAGTGCCAGAAATTATGCCAATTCTTTCAGGTCAGTAATGACATAATTATTTGAACATATAAGCTTTTGATGTTTTTTGTAGTTCTTTTTATTAACAGAGAACCTCTCAACTGATGTTTGTGAGTGGTTCTAATATAGCTTAGTGATGTGTGTCTGTCAACATTATATACAAATCATAATCATGAATACAAAAGCTGGGAATGGCAAAACACCTACCAGTATTTGTCATCACAGACTCCCTGGAGGACATAGGATGGCCATCCCTTCCTGTTTATGAAGTCTCTGTAGCCATCACTTGGAGGCAAGCAAGGGATGTGGCTCCCATCCACACCTATGATAAAAAGTAAAAAAAAAAAAATTAGTTTGAACACAGCAGTGTTGCCTACATACATAGTATAGAGCTCCGGGAGTTGACGTCACTTCTCCCGGCATGCAACAGTTCAAATCGAAACGGCGCCATATTGGCATGCAGAAGCCGGCAGCTGGACTATTTGTTATTGTCAGAAAACTCAATCAAACGGGAAATATGGTAGATTCCTGTTGTGCCCCAGGATGCAGAACAGACGCGGACGACATAAGGAATGAGCCATCTACAGTATTCCCCAAGATCCGGAGCGCCGCAAACGTTGGATCATTGTAATAAAATGCGCTAGTGACCGGGCGAAAATGAAACTGTGGGATCCCGAGAGTAAAGGTTTTCGCTTATGCAGCGACCACTTCATATCAGGTACTTAAACCAACGTTTCCTCAACTGTGTATGGTATTTATTGTAAATGCTTTTATTATGATTCTTAGTGGGCTTCCTAAACTTATTTTGGCGTGGCTTTTTCTGTCTTATTACTCATAGCAGCAAGTAAGCATCACGTAAAACGTTGCCTCGTGAGTTCTGCGTGCTGCCGTTTCCGTGTTTTATGATCACAGCAATTAACCGGCTAAGCTGTGTTTAATTTTTAAGCAATGGTTGATCAATTGTCAGATCACACATAAAAAGCACTTTGGATTGCTATTATCTGTGTCACTGAGACTACTTACGTGTAAATCTGTTATTTGTCCGTCCATCCATCCATTTTCATCCGCGTATCCGGAGTCGGGTTGCGGGGGCAGTAGTGTGACTTCCCTCTCCCCAGCCGCCGGAGCCAGCTCCTCCGGGTAAATCCCAAGGGGTTCCCCGGCCAGGTCCGGTGTTGAGCCGGTAAGAAGTCCGCTCTGACAGCTTCTGGCGTTTTTAAAAAGTATCCCAGGGGCACGGTAAGGGTCGGAGATGTTCAGTCTATTTAATTTCTGACTATATAAAATGATTTCTTCTGTTTTAAAGTGTGAAGTAAACTCCGACGAAGTAAAATCCAAGCGGATCCCGTTCATGTTCATGGTTACATCCGTGTTTGTTTACCTTTTTTGCATGCCAAAATGGCGTCCACTAACTGAGAGTCACGTGGGGTCCGGAGCTGTATTGTTCACATTTAGCCTACTCTCAGAAAACTACTGACATTAACAAGACATAAGAGCAGGAAATATTTTACCTATGATTTGAGGAATGGAGTGGGCACGTTCAAGTCTTTGTGCAATGCCACATACCTCCTCCAATGTGGGTACTCTGATCAGTGTTTTGATGACTGAGTCGACCATTCCGTGGCAGAATAGGTACACCATCTTCTTCACGGTGCTCTTGTGCACTCCAAATTGGTTTGCTATCAAACAATACTCTGCACAGCTTGCTAGTTTATACAGCACCATGGCAACGCGCATTCCTGTAGGCACTGCTGTGCGGATGGTTACTACACAGGGCTCCATCACTCTTTCCATCATACCACAAAGTTTAGCAAAAGATTGACGTGACATACGGAAATTCTCACGCCAATTCGTGTCCGTGAACTCCATCATTACAACCCGCTCTCACCAGTCCTGACTGCGCACCTTCATCCAAAGTGTCCGCGGGGCTCTGGTGGTAACGGGTACCGTCAATATGTTGGATATGTTTAGCGCAGCTCTCTCTATATTTGCCATTTCTTGCTCACGTACTCTCCTTCGAATGAAGGCCAGTGCGCACAGTCGTTGTAAGAGCTGCTGGTGGGTCAATACCAGCACTAAAGCGCAAACAAACGCGGTCGCTATCTCTTCCGAACTGGGAAACATGTTGTTGTTATCACGGATACCGGAACAAGAAGAACCGGAAATGACGCATATTGCGTCTGGACGTAGTCCATACGTCCTGACGATACCCCAACGTCCACATTTAAATCGGGTTTGCAAGTTAGGGGTAACTCTTTCTATTTATGCTTGTAAACGGGTTATTCTGATCAACTCAGAAACCCGACCTTAACCCGATCATAACCCGGATATTGGCTGCATGTAAACGTAGTCAGTGACTCGATGCAACCTGCTGGGTTCCTTATATAGGAAACTTGTTACTGATTGGCTTAAGGACCTGACCTGTATTGGAATGTTTACTGTGTGAAGGGCCTTGAAACGACTTGTCGTGATTTGGCGCTTTATAAATAAACTTGAATTGAATTAAATCAACGGTGCCTCTGACAGAAGCTGCATCTCTCTTCACTGCTGTGAGGAACACACACACACACACACACACACACACACACACACACACACACACACACACACACACACACACACACACACACACACACACACACACACACACACACACACACTCACAGAGAGAGAGAGAGAGACTTAAGCTGCATGGGCGTCGTTTAAGGGAGACACCGCGGACTATTTCCAGACATGAAAATCCCTCAATTCTCGGCGAAAGCCCCCGACACCACCAAGAGTAGATTAAATAAATAAATCTGTGGGAACCGGTGACGCGCGACCCACACAAACACAGCTGGAAGGAGCTCAGAACAGTCAAAGAGAAACTATGATATAATTTAGCTGTCAGCCTGTAGAAGTTCCTGCTGAACTTTATTCTGTTTCATGAACCAGGGTGAGCTGGGTTTGTGTTAAATTTAACTTTAAGACTCGGAGAAAACTTTAGTCTACCTTTGAGTTAGATATTTTCTTCTTGTTTGCTTGTTTCTCCTCAGAGACACGATGGATATAAGGAGATGACAAAAGTCAAAATGTCCCCAAAGGAAGGGTCAGTTAGCTGGTTAGTGAAGGTGAGCTAGCTTAGCCTAGCCTGCCAGACTCCTCCTCTGTTTAATTCTGCACAGAGAAAGGCTCTGGGAACTCTCCTATTCAAATAACCCCACCCACTGACAATTCTAACCGAGCCAATCAGCACTGAGCAGCGTTCATCACACACCATAATGCCGAGTTTGTCATAAACATGGCGACTGAGGCGGAGTTCGCTGCGGCTCTTTCCTCTGTTATAAATGACTTGGACATGTTTTTAAAACAAGTAGAAGCGGTAAAAACATTTCTTCTAAAAAAAAGATGTTTGCGCCGTTGCCAGATGCCTTTTTTGACTACAGCTAAAAAACTACAGCGTCGCGCGGTACAGTCGGCATTCCTGTCTTTTTTCTGATTGGTTATTTTTGAGTTGGCTAGTCCCGCCCCTCATGTGCCTCTCTGCCTGTGAGTTACCAGACTCTTTCCCTGCAAAATTAGAGGACGATTCTGGCAGGCCAGGCTAAAGGTAGCTGTCATTAAACCCTGATCCAGCCCACTGCCTCCTGCTGTTGTTGTTATTATTATAATATTATCACAAATATAAAATAAGCATCTTGGAAGTTTAGGATTCTTTATGGTTTTAGTGTTTTCAGCAGCAGAGCCTGGTTCGTGCTTTGTCACATTTCCTTTGGGTTCAAACAAAATAACAAACCAGGCCAAACATGTAATTTCATGTTGTTTATTTATCTTATTTCATCCATAATTAATTTAGTTTTTAAAGCTCAATTTTTAGGTTGTTATTTTAAAAACAATCATTTAATTATAATTAAAGGGACATTAGGGAGTTTTGAGTTTTTATGCTCGCGATTGCCCCCTCAGGCCAAAAGCGTAACGGCAGCTTCAATAGTAGGCTCGTGCACGACGCGCGCATGCTGTAAGTGCACACCCCTTAACGAAAATAACAGCTGAGACAGTCAGCTCCGTGTGTGTGTGTGTGTGTGTGTGTGTGTGTGTGTGGCCCGGAGGACAGAGGACAGG